CATTTTATAAATTATAATAATTTTATTAAAACTTATGGTTTATGTAATAATTTTAAAATGAACATTCATTTTTCAGAATATGGCTTTTTTTGGCAAGATTATCTTGATGCTACAAACAGTGTTGAAGTACCGCAAATTATGTTTCCACATGTGGAGTTGACACTTCAAAGTGGTATTGAAATTGGAATGTCCTTAGAAGTGCCAATTCCAAAGAATGCTAATCAAGAAGGAACCAAATATTGGGTGGCTTCTATTGTAATGGCATGTGGACCTTTATTAAGATTGCGTTACTTTGGTGGAGATGACAGATCATTAGAATTTTGGTTCAACCTTACTAAAGAAGCTGCTCATGAACTGGGATGGTGTGTGAAGGACAATAAAAAATTAGAACCACCTGATATTGTACTTCAAAGATCACCAGATTGTGTGGAAAAATTATCTGAATTTCTAACAACAGCCAGGACTGTCCCACCAGAAATGTTATCAGGAGTTAGTTTCAAATTTATACAAAAATTTTATAGTAAAATTAATCTGAATTTAGTTCATTAACTTTAATTTTCTCTGTATACAGGATGGTCTAAGTATGACAGAAAGAATAAAACAAGGCATGAAAGTTGAAGTTAGTGATACATTACATCCATATAAATTATGGGTGGCTACGGTAAGGAATAACTTATAAATGTTATGTTATTATCTATGAATTTTATTTTTTAATTAATTAATAATTTTTTTAGATTATAGAAAATGTGGGAGGACGTCTTTTATTAAGATATGATACTCCTGGCTCTTCACATAAGGATTTTTGGATGTTCTGTACATCAGAACACCTTCATCCATATGGATTTGCATCTAAATCAGATTCTACATGGTTCTTAGAACCTCCTAGCTCTATAGTGGAGATGCATACATATGAAGAATGGAAGGACTTGTTAGAATCTGCTCCAAAAAATTATGATCTTCCAGAAGAATTATTTAATAATACTATGGATCATCCAAAGCATGAATTTAAAGTTGGTATGAAATTAGAAGCATTAAGTCCAATAGATCAAATTAAAATATGTCCAGCCACTATCATAAAAGTATTTGATGACACTTATTTTCTGGTTCATATTGATACATATGATGAAGTGTCAAAAGGAATGGATATTGAAACATGTCTGTATAATAGTACAGAAAAAAATACATGGCTCTGTACAGCAGAACATCCATATATTTTTCCAGTTGGATGGGCAAAGAAACATGACATCAAGTAAGCATAATATATTCCTTGTAATTTATTCAAGTGTCTACATTACAAGTTAACATTCTAATGTTTCTCAGAATTGTACATCCAAATGGTTGGACACCAAAAGAAGACGAATTCGATTGGGACGAATATTTGAAAGATACTCAATCAACTGCTGCAGAAGAAAGATTATTCCCAGAAAGACAAAGTGCCATTAATGCAGGTTTTGAACGTGGCATGCGGTTAGAGGCAGTTGATCCAGAATGTGAAAATATTATATGTGCTGCACATCTCACGAAAATTGTTGACAATCTGCTATGGTTAAAATTAGATAATTATGAAAATACACGGCCAGAACATATTGTCGATATGCATTCCTTACAAATATTTCCTGTCGGATGGTGTGAATCTAATTACTATCCATTGAAACCACCGAAAGACTATACGGAAATTTGTAAAAAGTTACAAATGCCTCTGAAAGAAGAGAAGAAGGCCAACATTCTAGATATACCAATATCCGAGCCACGTTCTTCATTGTGGTGTCCAAAGATATATTTTAATTACCGTTGTTTCACGGGTCCTATGATTTCTAAGGGAAAACTAGCAACTTTACCAAAAGCAGTAGGACCTGGTCCCGTAATTTTAGTTATGAGAGAAGTTTTATCAATGATCGTATCTGTAGGATACAGAAGTGCTCGGATATTGAAAGTACTTCAATGTGATTCCAAACCAGATCCTGGATATCACTTGGAAGTTTTAAAAGCGAAGCATAAAAACAATACATATCGCGCGAGTGTTGCTGTTGTTACGTCTGGAGACATGGTGGCTGACTTTTGTAGAAATATCTGCAAAAAGTTAATGGTATGTCCAAACTTATTTGGTCCCCTATACGTGCCCGAAAATGAATGTCCCGATAAATGTCACAAAACGTCCAAAGCGAAATTCAGTAAGTAACTGTTATCACATTAATGGTTTATCTCATTCTTCTTACTATTGTTTTATTAATTTTAAGCAACTTTTTATTTTAGCAGCATCCGTAGGTACTGGACGAAGAGGGAAACCAAAGGGTTACACAAGTATTATGGTGCAAAAACCAAAACCATGGGGTGGCAGGAGAAAAAGGAGACGCGGTAGATGGGCGAACAGAGAAAAGGATAACCACGAAGATTTCGAACATGAAGACGAAATACCATTCATGTCATTGGATTTAGCGAAGCACGTGTCAGGAATCGAAGAAGCGCTCGATGGAAGACCGCCACTTTCTGAGATAGATATCATGATTCAGAAAGGCTTAGAGAAAGAAGAGAAGTCGGACGAGTTTAAAACTGAGCCACCTTCAAGCAATGCGTCAGATGATTCTGGAAGTTCGTTTAATGATAACCGGAAAACAAAAGACGGAGGCAGTCCAAGTAGTTTAAATAATAAGCAACACTCGTCTAAATTTAGTCAAAGTTCCGCTGTTACTAGGGCGAGTAAAAGAGAACGAGACTGGGACACGAGCATCGAATCTGATGGCTCTGAGGGCGAGTCGGAATATGTGAAACTGCAGAAAAAACAAAGGCGGCCGAAAACGCGGAAACTTGATTCGAATCCATTGTTTTGGAGCGTAGATGATGTATTCAGATACTTAAGAAAAACGAACGACTGCAAAGATATCGCGTATAGAGTAAAACAAGAGGTAGTGTGTACAGAAACATAAAGAAAAGTAATTAACGTGCAGACATATATTCTAATGTTTTTTTTTGTTTTACAGGAAATTGACGGTCTGGCGTTTCTACTGTTGAATTTGCCGTCTCTTACGCAACACATGAAATTGCGAACGAGTTTAGCCATGAAACTATGTCGCCACGTTGAACAAGTTAAAGTCACGTTCTTTTTGCGACACATAAATGAAGTAGAACCAGAACAATATCAAATTGTATAATTTCAATAATTAGGAACAATTTATTCAATTATTTATATAGTGTAATATAATGTACCATGAGAGGATAAATGACGTCAAGATGTTGATTGTACAAATAATAATAGAATAACTTTTAATTTATATAAAAAAATGCAAGACTGCATTACTTTTAAATAGACTAATGATGTATTTAATTATATCCTTGTATACTTAAATTATTTTTGTTTTGTCATGTTTTTAATGAAATTCAATTTCACAGATTAAACTAAATAATCGATTAATGTACCTAAAACATTATAAGGTACATTCTTCTTTTTCAAATTATATAAAATCTGTATAAAAATCGATCATGAATTTTCTTTAATCGTTAATCGTAATTGTTAATAATATTTATATAGTACAAATTCGTTGAACTTTTATTTTGTAAATTGACAATAAAACAATAAAAATTTATAAAATCGTGTCTAAATACGACGTGCAACTATATCGACCTAGAATGCACGTTTGAGACTTGTCGTTTCCCCGCAGCTCAATCTAAATTTGCAACAATGCTTCTGCATGTCCTATAGGACGGACTGTACTTTTTGAAACTTTGCCAAATTATCCGGTACCGTAGATAGAATGTCAAACAAGAATTACGAATGAACCAAAAAGTATCAAACTTGTCATTTTATTTGACGCCTGCATACTTGTACTATAGATATATTTTCGTATACTTCCTTGCGCGCTCACGTGATATATTTTAACCTACGATTCAAGACTGCACCTTCTACGTTACTTTTATCATTAACAGTATCGTTATAATTTTTTAAAGTATATGTTAAAGGGGCTCTGTTTGATATTCCAAGTACAGTAAACATTACATAACTTTAGATACACGAGAGAAGCGTGATTAACGGAACGGAAGAGGTAAAGAATAGAACGAAAGGGATATGATATTCAATAAAATCATCGACATATTTAGTATACAGTTCGCCTCATACAACATATTCTCCTTGCAAACGGTCTGTCAACTGTCACCAAAAGAAATGGTGCGATCAAGTGCTTTGTAAGCATAGCTCGTTATCCCACCATGTGTGGTCCGACCTAATGTGAAGACCAAATATGCTTACGCACGTATATAATTGTTAATATAATTTGTATTCGAAGTAGAGATGATACGGTAGTTCATGCATTTTTCTATCCTCCAATGCTCCTAAGATCGTTAATTTTTCTGAATACGTGGATAACTCGTAGCATTTGGCATGACCTATATTTTTATACCCAGCTTTCGATCGAAGGTTTAAATTTACACAGACTTATTTCTTATCAAAGAAGAGATTCGTTACTGGCTCTTCGAAGGTAGACTAAACTTATCTTGTTACAATATTTGTATCTCTTGAGGGATCGTTAAAATGTGACGATATGTATTATTTATATGAAATCAATTCTACCTTCATTGCAAGAAATAATTGTCTACGGTATATTTTCACGTATCAATCGACATTTATTACTCGTAACGTTTCGTTACAACTTACTTCAATCAGATGTCAGTTACAAAAAGTGTATCGATTTTGTTTCGTACGCATTATGACGGAAATGATATGCACGTAGTGCACCATAAGTTTGCAAAATGTCATATCGTATTTACACGTGAAGAAAAGATCTCACGGTTGAGGTAGCGATGCGCCGCTTACCCCCATTTAACACGCGTCAATTCTAAAATGTATCACTTCCCCCTTTTTGCAAAGTATACGCAGCTGCACTTTCGGATCCTATAGATAGAGCTACGTTTACTCAGAGGGCGCGCCTTTTTCGAATCTGGCGCGACAGATACCTCCGATCTGTCTTGACCGTTACTGGCCAAGAGATTTTCGCTCGCATAAAGAATCACTTCACACTGTTCGATAGTTTAATCAATGAAAAAGGATTTCTAAAAAAAATACGAATATTGAATATTACGTCCAATAAATTACTATCTACAAAAAGTTCAAAGAACGTTTATCATATCAAGTGAGATATTTATATCTGCTTGCAGCGACCTTAAAAATGTCAAGTCTTTTCATAGTGTGTTTCTTTGCGAGCGATTCGTAAAGTTCAGGAGAAGGCACGTCAGTGTGGGGATCAGTGTGCTTGTAGCATTTTGGTGGGGATCGAGCCCGCACACAAGCGACGTGCACATCTACACTAGTACAGTACCGTACGGTGCGTTACGTGTACGAGTCAGTGGTTTTTCGATGATGCCTTGGTGATGACGGGATTTTAACGTTCGAACGCGTCCCAAAACGTTGAGATAGGTGAGCCAATAATTATTGTGAACGAACGAACAGCTTCTTAACGGCCTAGATACGGAAGAATCGTTTAAAACCTGTGAAACGAACAAATAGCGTCGGCGATCAATGTTGGTTCGCGGGTGTGCCGTGCCCGTTTGCCCAGCCCCGTGTGTTCCCTTTTTCCCTTTTGGTCCCCATGGGAAAACCGTTTTCTAACTAGCGTTACGATCGATACAGATTTCTTTAAACGTTTTATAACGAAGGGTACGTGTCCTGGAAGAGGTGATCTAACATAAAGGCGGTACAATATTCGTCGATGATGTGTGATTTCGAAGGACAACTTTGGTGAGATCATCGTAACACCATCACCTGTTTCCTACAATTGTGCGCGATCTGAAAATGAATTCCGGTTACGCGTACCTGTCCTATTTCGTCTAATCTCATTGTGAAGAAAGATTCCGTTCTCCATAGTGCTTTCGAAAAGCTCGATACGCTATTAGCCGGCCCGCTGACACATGTCTAATATTATATACATACATTGTTCGTGACTTTTTTGCCGCGGAGAGCACGCCCATTTTTCATGTCTCCATTGGCAACTATCCGTCGCGTAGCATTTTCACAGGATTCGAAAATTTCACTCGGGTCAATTATCGCGAGTGAAATGATTCGCGTGATTTTCTATATCCGTTCTGACATTTCTATAGACTGATTTGTACACGCGTGTACAGAAAGTGGTTCAAATGATATTTAGCTCAGTGTTGTACTGAAAAAAAAGTTATGTCCTTATGAATGCGAATAGGATTCGTAAAGGCTGATGTGATGATTTCAATCGTCGGATTCGTTTGAATTGTAAAGATTGAAAGGAACGAATGTTTGGAACGTTTAAATTTATAATTTATACCGCTTGGATTAAATTTGAAATTTAAATTGAATCTCGTTTAGTAGATTGAAGTTTTTATTTGGTGGAAAATTTGTAATACTTCGGCAGAACGTGTTTCGTTGTATCTGTCGTAAATTTTTACGTTTAAAAAATTTTAGAAAATCCTTTTCTATTTCTAGATCAAGAAAATACCGGTCGATCATGAAGTTCATCCTGTGTATTATCTCAACACTGGTACTGCAGGCATCGGCTCTAAGTGAGTGCAATTCCGTCATCACGTTTTATATCGGTCACGATAAATTCGAAGTAATACTTGTTACGGTCAATCTGTTTTCATGATAACAATCTGTGATTTTTAATTATAGTCCGTATCCTGGATATTTTAGGAGGTGAAAACAGTAGCAAACGCCAGATGCATAGTTGTTTTCACATAGAACGCATAGTTCTTTAAATAAAAAAATTTTTTTATACCTTAGATGATTTTCGTACGAAAGCATTATGTTATGTCAGGTTTAAAAATATAAAAAATGCAGAATATAATTTGCTATATATTTAAAAAACTATAAAAAGAGAAATATTTATTTGCTTTCACTTGCTTCTGTAAGAGTTTTTACACTAAGTGAATTTAGTTTAATGTAATTATAATGTATTAAGGTAACAGATTACATTATTCTAGGAAAGCATTTTCACTACATTCTAAAGCATTTCACTACTTCTTAGTTTCATTTAGTAGGTTCTGATAAAGTAGTTCAGTTAATTTTCTTTTGGTTTAGATAATTATGTTGAATATGTTCAAATGAAAAATTAATTTTAACATTGTATAATATACATTTTATTACATACATAACAGCAAATTGTTTCACAGTGTGTAACAATAATGCACATTTGTCATGTGTATCTCCCATTAGTCCAATCTCCACCACGGATATCCAAACAACCCCCGCCAGATGAGCAGTTATTTCAAGTGGCTCAAGCGAAGATTAATGAGAATGACAAACCATTTTTAATTGAATGTGAAGCAGAAGGAGAACCTGTTCCAAGGTAAAACACATTTAATAGTAAAGTAAATAAAGGAATTTCTCCCTTTCACCATTGTATAATTATTTGTAAATAAAAATATTTATTATCCCTATAAGTATGAAAGTATATTATTAAAAAAGATTACTTGTTGGATTGATTTAAATTCTCAATGGTTTTTATAATGAAATAACAATCTCTTAGGAAAAATTAATTATCGAGTAGTGTAATGTTAGGAATACATTTTCTAAGAAGATTTCATTCATATAGTTTCATTGCACTTACATTTAAGTACACTATCTCTATCCTCCAAAGAAGCCAGAGTAACTGGTCTTAATTACCAGGATGACCTCATAGCCTTAGGGGGTATAAAGTTACCAGTACTGATAAAGATACCTTACTTGTGGTGTGAATTGTAGATGCATGGGAGTGGTCTGGCAGTGTATCAAAGGAAAATAGAAAACATCCTTACCACATTATGATTTATTTTCATCTTTTCATAATGAGTACTACATTATTCTTAAGATGATACCATTAACAGTTAACTTTTAATGTTCATCTAAAAATACAAGATGGTTTTAGATATATCTAATTCATTTTATAATGTTTAAATTCAAATTTTATTTAATAATTTTATCCAGATATCATTGGATTAAAAATGGAAAAAATTTCGAGTGGCCAGCATATGACGATCGTATATCTCAACAACCTGGTAGAGGTACTCTGGTGATCTCAAGACCAAGAGATGAAGATTTGGGCCAGTATCAATGCTTTGCAGAAAATGAATGGGGAATAGCAACATCCAATTCAGTTTTTGTCAGAAAGGCTGAATTAAACTCTTTTAAGGATCAGAATCCTATAAGTCAGGGTGCAAATGAAGGGCAGCCATTTAAATTAACATGCCAGCCACCAGATGGTTGGCCAAAACCAAACGTATATTGGTTAATCCAGGACACTGCCGGTGGCATCAAATCAATCAATAATACGCGAATGACTTTAGATCCAGAAGGAAATCTCTGGTTCAGCAATGTGACCAGAAACGACGCCTCCGATGATTTTTATTACGCATGTGCAGCTACATCCGTATTCAGGAATGAATACAAACTAGGAAATAGAGTTCTGTTGAACGTTATCTCTTCGGGGATATCTGCTAGTCAGAACAAACATGAGCCTCTTAAACAGTATGTCAGTAGGAAGAACGAAGTTGCCTTACGCGGTAAAAAGATTGAATTATATTGCATATATGGTGGAACACCATTGCCACAGATAGTGTGGAGTAAAAACGCCGACATAATTAGAACTAACGATAGAATAACACAAGGGAATTATGGTAAATCATTGATAATCAAACACGTCAATTTCGAAGATGAAGGAACATATACCTGTGAAGCGTCGAATGGGGTGGGTGACGCGCAATCGTATTCTATACACTTGCAAGTGATGTCGGTACCATTCTTCACAATTGAGCCTGAAATCATTAACGCAGCAGAAGATGAAACGGTCGAATTCAAATGTGCAGCTAACGGAGTGCCTGTTCCAGAGATCAAATGGATTCACAATGGTAAACCGATATCTGAAGCCCCGCCAAATCCGCGTAGGAAGGTTACATCAAATTCTATCATTATCGAGAAACTGACAAAGAAAGACACAGGAAATTACGGATGTAACGCCACCAATTCCTTAGGTTATGTATACAAGGATGTATACGTAAACGTTTTAGCTTTAGAGCCTGAAATTACACAGCCCCCAGCCGACATCGCCACGGTCGACGGTAAAACAGTAAGAATTACCTGTCGCGTATTCGGTGCTCCAAAACCAGCCGTAAAATGGATTCGAAACGGGCAAGAATTAACCGGAGGTCGATACAAGACCCTGGACTCCGGCGACTTGGAAATTGAGAATGTAATATTCTTGGACGCGGGCACCTATACATGCCACGCGTCCAATAAATTCGGAGAAGTAGAAGCCTCTGCTAATTTAGTACTGAAAGAACACACAAGGATCACCGATGAGCCAGAGGATTATGAAGTAGCTGCAGGTTCTACTGCAACCTTTAGATGTAACGCTGTCACAGACTCGAGTTTAACGCTGACCATCGATTGGTTGAGCAACGGTGAACCCATCGATTTTGAGATGGAGCCACGGTTCATACGAAGCACTGATTACTCACTGATGATAACGAAAACGACTGAGCTAGATTCTGGTACTTACACTTGCGTTGCTCACACTGAATTGGATGAGGCAAAAGCACAGGCTACACTCATTGTACAGGATGTACCGAACCCGCCAAAATTATTTAGCGTTAGCTGTTCGAAAAACGGTGCAGCTATTCAATGGATTCCTATGGGTGATAACCGAGCTCCGATTCTGAGATATACCGCTCAATACAATACCACATTCACTCCTGACACTTGGGAAATAGCTAGAGATTCAATACCAGCTACTGAACAAACGGTATATGTACCGATGTCGCCCTGGGCTAATTACACGTTCCGTGTATTAGCGTGGAATAAAATAGGTCCATCGATACCCTCGCTACATAGTGATGTATGTACCACATTACAAGATGTTCCCTATAAAAATCCTGATAACGTGATGGGTAAAGGAACCACGCCACAAAATCTTGTTATATCGTGGACGACCATGCCGCAAATCGAACACAATGCACCAAAATTCATGTACAGAGTATATTACAGACGTGATATACCGGGAGAGAAATGGGCTACAGAGGACATAAACGATTGGAAAAAGAATAGTTTGGTTATAGACAATCAACCTACTTATCAGAGATATAAAATTAAAGTTGTAGCTATTAACGAAAGGGGAGAATGCAGAATCGCGCCTGAAGAAGTCACTGGATACTCTGGAGAAGATGGTTTGTTTAGTCTATTAGATTTTATTATATTCTAAACATTTTTTTTAGAAAAAAAATTATTAAAAATATATTTAACGTTACAGTACCATTGCAAGCACCAAGTAACTTCACGTTGAACCAGATAAAGTCGAGTACAAGTGCACAATTTTCATGGAATCCAGTTCCCGAGGAATCGGTACGAGGGGAATTGCAAGGATACAAAATTCAAACGTGGATAGAGAAAGATGGTGAGAAAGGAATGCGAGAGATTGATATTAGAGGTGGTAATAGGACCCATGCATTGGTTACCAAGTTCATCCCGTTCAGCAAGAATTACGTTCGAATATTAGCATATAATGGCCGGTAATGAACATTAAAATGACACTTTATAAGCATTTGTATTTAATTTTATTCATAATGCTAATCATTCGTATTAGGTATACTGGACCACCTTCTGAAACTTTAAGTTTCGACACACCAGAAGGAGTTCCAGGGACGGTCCTCAGTCTCGAAGCGTTTCCTATGGGTTCCAACGCTTTATTTTTAGTGTGGACGAAACCTGCAGAGCCAAATGGTAACCTAACTGGCTATAGAGTATATTATGAAGTCGTAAATGGAACAAGCTTAGGACCTACGTTGGAGAGAAAGCCACAAATCGTAGATCGAGAAGCTACCAGTGCGAAATTGGCAGCATTGATACCTGATACAAAGTATCGTGTGCACATCCGGGCAACTACAAAAGTTGGTGAAGGAAATGAGTATGTATTATTACTTAATACCTTAACTACAAATCTAGTTTCTGGAAATAACACATTTTTGTTTTTTTAGCTACTTCATTGAACAAAAAACACGCACATCCCAACGCCCTGATGTACCACAATTTACTTGGGAAGCAATACCAAACGAGAATGGGTACTCGAGTGTAAGAATTATCTGGCAGCTGAATCTCAATGGAAATCCTGGAAGTCACTTCTTTGTAAAGCACAAGCTTAAAGGCGAAACGATATTTCACCATAGTAAACCAGAATTTCAGTCAAACATGATCGAAATCCGGGGACTTCAAAGTGGTGAAGTATACGTGATGTCTGTGGTCGCTGTTGATGGAAATTATTTCACGGAAAGCGAGCCACAAGAAGTAGAAACTAGCAGTGAAGGACCCATTATTCAACCTAAAGAAAATGTTGCCACTGCTGGGTGGTTCATAGGAATGATGCTAGCAATTGCCTTCCTTCTTTTGGTACTTATAATTGTATGCGTTATCAAACGCAACAGAGGGGGGAAATACGCAGTGCATGAAAGAGAGCTAGCTGCTGGACGTGGCGATTATCCAGATGAAGGTGGTTTCCATGAATATTCGCAACCTTTAGACACTAAATCAGCAGGTGGTCGGGCGTCTTTAGCGTCCTCCTCTCATCAAGACGGAAAACATCCTGAATCTGACACCGATTCTATGGCGGAATATGGAGAGGGAGATACAGGTCAGTTTAAAATATAATAAGGGTCTATTTATATTAAGTTAACAGGGTAACAAGGCAATTCAGGTAGGTATCATTAAATTTCAATAGCATATGTACCCCAATTCTCACATGTGTAAGTGTACATGAAAGCATGGATACACAAATTTATGTTCAATTATTTTCCTTGTGTTGTATACACATATTAAATAGGTTAGAACATTTATTTTTGTACATTTTTATTTTCTTCGTTTTAACATTGTGATGTATATTATGTTTGGTTCCACCATTTTGTTTGCTCTGTTGCTCGACTTCATGCAGAAGGTATGAACGAAGATGGATCATTCATTGGTCAGTATGGCCGACATCGTAAACAAGAACCAAATTCACAAGCATTTGCCACATTAGTTTAAGGTAGGTTATGCGACTTATTCAAAAAATAAATTACAACAGTAGATGGTTTATGTTTTCTAAAATTATAATTTCAAATGCAAAATCGTGAATTGCAATTATGATTTTGTTAAAGGACGTTTCACGGAGGATGGTTCTTTCATTGGACAATATGGGCCCAAAGGTAGACCAGAAGAAACACCGCCCATTCCAAGCGGCACTATGGCCACATACGTGTAACCTCTGCCATTATCTTACTCAAGCCGCATGAAAAATTTTTTCTAAAGTAAGGTTTCCAATCCTTACTTGCCGCAGCAGCTCTGCTATGCACCTTGCGCTGGGCGCAATGTCCAACACTATACTGCCAATTAGACTTTGGTTTTGGGTTTTATAGTTTACATAGAAAAATAGGTAAATGTTTCTATATCGAGCTGTGTATGGACTATATAAGTCAAGCACAACGTTTATACATTCGTGTCGTTTTAAAAGGTAATTCCTTTTGAATATTCGGCACGTGTTCAGATGTGTTACTCGAGTATTCCAATAATGTTTAGTATTTTTCAAGAAAGTTGATCGTCTGCGATAATTATTTGATCTACATATTGCGTGTGTTACTTGTACAATTTGTTAGTCGATAAAAAATTATTTACGATTGATGAATTTGTTGAAAATGTTACGACTAATTATAAAACCCAAAGACGATAGGTGTCTCATAGCGTGCAAGCTATTTATGGACATAATATAGTAGAAAGTATTCTAGCATCGACCGTAAAACATTTGACAAGGCCAGATTGAAAATTGACACTTTCAACAAGTCACCACAGGGTATACGAGTTATGTTTATATTGTTCTAAGTATGTACGGCACAAAAAAATAAGAAGTATGATGCACTTTTAAGGTTGCATGTAGGATTACGTCTTTCAGATGAAGATAATCAGTATCAGTAATTCGTATTACCCGAAAATGAATTAATACATGACACAAACTGTTGTTACTTATATGCATTCTTGAAAACGGACGGACTGACATCAAGTATATAATGTCGCAATCTGGCCTCGACTGAATCTAATTTTAATTGAAAAAAGAAGAAGATTGTTCTAAGAATCTTTAGATGCAATCAATTTTTACTCTGCCGACAGAGGGCCAAATATAACGAATCAGTGACTATCTACAATTATTGTGCACGTGCACTTTCATTAACGATACACAAAACGACAAAAAATATATGA